AGGCAGGAAAGAAGAATGTAGGGTCAGAGGACTTGGGGAAGGCACCAGACCTGAGAGAAGGCTCGGGACCACTGGGGTTGGGAAAGGCAGCGTTTAATGAGGCAAGGGAGGGGGCAGATGATTAGCGTGTGATGGAAGACTGAAGGCATGTCGAGCAAAAGCCAACAGCTGTGTGAAGCCAGTAGGCTGATGGGCCCCCAGCCTTCCCTCCCCTCAGTATGGGTGGCCTTTTCCTGTTTTCTTGTCTGCATCTCCTCAGGCAGTCGTGAATGATGAGGCCACCCAACAGAAGTGATAAGTCCACAAAATCTCGGTATTGTTACACTCTTTTTCCAGCTTAAGCAATTCCTTTATGGTCTGGGGCAGAGCGTTGTAGCAAATGCTCCCATCAGACCACCCTGAGCTTCTCCTGGGAGACGCACTTGTGGAAAGAGGCAAGATTCAGAGCAGATGAGGATGATCCTCATTATTTTGGTGACCACGGAGGATTGCGCACATGAGACACTAAAATCTTACGGTGCTGGAGATCTGTTTTGTGGGAATCTGGCATCAGTTCAGCAGACAGAGACTCCAGACATCCAGCCAACCCTGCATCTGTAATTTCAACAACTTAAAATACACGCTCACTGTACACAATGTATCAAGACGACAATGAATGGAATAATAACAATTTGAACAATGTTGACTATTGTCATTTGAACGTGAATTTTTTTGGAGTAATCTGGCACAGGGTCTTTAGGAAGTGCATGACATCATAAGTTGTACAGATGATACCCACCAATGCGATGCAAAGGAGCCACTCTGTAGAGCTGTTATCAGTTACATTCGATGTCCAATGAGCATGGGGAAGAACAGCCATTATCTCCACCGGTGTTCATCTTCAAACAGCCCAGTCCTGCCTGATTTGTATCAGCATCTTCCCTGGAGTCTGGGCTCTAGATAGCCTTCCTGTTGCTGTGCATCTCACACACCTCATGCCTGTCTTCCATGATATCCAGTTCTGACTGTCTATCAGCCTCTCCTTCCAGAGTGTGTCCACCAGGATCCCTGGTCCTTAGTCTCAGAACATGCCATCCTCACCCTCTTCTTGCTAACCAGTGAGCTCAGAGCTTGCTTGTCTCTGCAGAAGATGGTCTCTGATATTGAACCCTGTAGGGTGTTGTGTTTTTTAAGAATTTATTTTAGGAGCTGGCGTTGTGGCACAGGGAGTAAAGCCACACCCTGCAGCATCAGCATCCCACATAGGGGCTGGTTCAAGTCGTGGCTGCTCCACTTCTAACCCAGCTCCCTGCTAATGTGCCTGGGAAAGCAGCAGAGGATGGCCCAAGCCCCTGGTCCCCTGTACCTATGTGGGAGACCTGAATGAAGCTCCTGGCTCCTGGCTGCGGGCTGGCACAGACCCAGTTGTTGAAGCCATTTGGGGAGTGAACCAGTGGTTGGAAGAACTCTGTGTGTCTCTCCTTCTGTCTCTTTCTGTGACTCTGTCTTTCAAATAAATAGATAAATCTTAAAAATTTATTTTATAAAAGTATGACAAATATGGAGTTAAAATTCTTCCAAACAGCTCTTGGTGTTATGAATAACATCCAACCTCACCCTGCACTCCTAGTTCCTGGTCCCTCAAGGTGAATTCTTTCCATGCTTTCAGATACTTTTCCTTCTGTATCTCAAGTAATGCATGTATGGTCTTAGTTTCTGGTTTCCTATGCCTCCTGTTGACTTTCTATTCTCAATCGCTTATTGATTGATCGATTTGAGAAAACAGGGAAATCGACAGAGAGGCAGAAGAGAAAATTTCCATCCACTAGTTCACTCCTCAAATGCAGGATGCAGTGGGGCCAAATCTGTACGCTGGGAACTCAGTCTGGATCTCCCATGAGGGTGGCAGGGACCTGACTACTTGGGCTGTCACTGCTGCATCCCAGGGTGTACGTGAGCAGGAAGCTGGAGTCAGGAGCCAGAACTGGAGGTGGAAGCCAGGTGCTCTGATGTAGGATGCACTATCTTAACTACTTCTCCCAGTTGATTACTTTTTTGCAAGGATCTATCCCTGAACTGTCCATAATGGCGACAATCTTAATACCTAAACATACCAATTATCCTTTTGGCATATCTTCCTTTTCTTGAACTCTTTTTTCCCCCCTGATTTGGATTTTGCTCTTCTGAGGTACAACATGGATATCTTATTGCAACCTCTCCAGATCCTGGGATTTTGTGTTTTCTCTCCTGTTTTAGTCTCTGCGGAATCCCCTGTCTTTGTCCTCTTTGGTTTACACATCAGTGGCCTCCTTAGCAAGATTATGGAGAGAGTTGCTGAAAATCCTCCAATCATCACCCCAGGGCATCCTGCACCTGCCTGCCCCTGGGAGACTGGCATTTATGGAGACTGCGTCAGGAGCTCCCTTGCCCTCTGACTTGGAGTTGACTTTGGTCAGTGAGGAGAATGGACATGGATAGGAGAGAGTAGAGGAACATGAAGTAGGAGTATTTGTTCCCTACCTCACTTCTTGTTGAGCTGTGAGTCGGTGGTGGCCACAGCTTTTGCCAGGCACTATTTCCTAAAGCTGCAGCTGTCTCTCCAGGCTCAAGAAGGGCCCCTCCTCCTTCTGCCTTGAACAGCTCCCTGTGCCTGCCAGCCTCAAGGACTTCGCCGTTGTGTGAGGCAGGTTGCTTGTGCACTGGTTACCAACTTGTCTGAGTCTGATGAGAGAACACTCACACACAAGTTCCATGGAGCAAGTTCATTCTTACACATAGGCAGCAAAGAACAACTGATGCCTTAGACCATTGCTGGCCAGTGCCCATATGGCTCAGGAAAGCTATCCAGAGTGGATGGAGTCTCATCCAGGTGTCCCTCACTTGCACTGCAGCAGGAGGACCCCAGAAAAGCGGCCCACCCTGGGTTTCATACATCAGTGGCGCGTGAGCTGCTAGGCTACAGTATGGGGAAGGACAGCCTTTTCCTCGGGGAGAACTGGGACTGATGCCAGGCCATTGTGATCAGTCCCTCCCGATCTCAGGATAGTGTGTTCCTAGCACATTGGATAATTGTTCCTGAGAATTACAACAAGGAGAGAGTAAGAACTGACCGGGTCAGTCCAAGGCCACCCAGAAAACTGTCCTGCACATTTCTGGTGGGTAAACAGCTAAATTCTTCCACTTAGATGCGTCCCCTCTTTCCTGCCCACATTGATATAAGAAGTAAAATTCTAGTGCACTGCATATGTGGAAGTATGTATTTTGCCCCTGTCTTTAGTTATTAGTTTGGGTATAGAGTTTTAGGGGCAAATCATTTGTTCCTTGTCATTTTAAAGGTATCGTTCTACTACTTCCAGCTTTCAGCATGACTTTTGATGACAGTAGTCATCAGGACCCCTGGCCATCTGTACTAGTCAGCCTCTCGTTGCTATGACAAAATAGTAGGAGTTTATTTAACTCAGTCTTGAAGAGTCAAGTTCAAGGTCAGGCAGCCCCATTGATTGGGCATGTGGTAAGGGTGGGGAATGGCAATGGTGGAGCAAGTGCAGAGGAATGGTTTCCTGGTGAGCCAGGAAGCAGAAGGGTTGGGAGTGGGGGCTGGGCCCAACTCAGACTTTTATACCTGGCCTTCTCTTTAGTACTACTTTCTGAGGGCACACCCCTAAGGACCCAGGGACTGCACACTAGACCCACCTCCTAAGCACTATAATGGGATTAATTTTCCACCATTTCAGTACTGTTAAATTGGGGGAGGGGTATGAAACATACTCAAACCATATTGTAATCTGATGTATTATCCTTTGTTCATGATTTGGTTTGCTTGCAGGAAGACTTGGAGTTCTCTCTCTTTTTTTTCCCTCCCCAATGTTGAAAGGATTCAAGATGGGGGGCAGGCATAGTGGTGCAGCAGGAGAAGAATGGAAGAGAAAACTAGAATTTCTATGTATTTTTAGATCTCACGCTGTACAGAAATGTTTGCATGTATGTTTTACATACGTATTTAAGTGTTACAATCCATGGTCAAATACGTTTTCCTAATGGAATACAATCTTAACTGTAGACAAACAAACAGTGCTCATAAGAGGATCTGGGAGGCCCAGAGCCCCTAAACACCCATTATATTTGTGTAGTTAACAGCCCGATGTGGAGGGTCTCGCCATAGTTTCTCTGTGGATATCATGCCTGCGTACCCTTCCTGCTTAACCATTAGGGTGACAAAATCCTTGCTTTCAATTACAAGAACATTCATGCAGTGTTTGCCTACCAAGGCTTTTGGATCCATGTAATGACATTAAATTTAAAAATAAATAGCATTGAACTTACAGTATTAGTATTTTATTACCTAGATCTTTGATGGCTATGTTAGATAAATTTTCAGCATTTTTCCCACTCGTGAACCAAATGTCCCTTTTAGGTTTCTCTTTAATGGCCATGTGTTTAATTGCTGCTAGCTGCAGAAAGCCTCCATGTTTGCAGGTTTTTAGGAATGAAGCCGTTGATCTCAGCAACCTAAACTGCATGTATCCTTAGAAGAGTGCATTGCGCATTGTTGTGGAGATTGTTGAGTTACCAGACGTTGGCTTGTCCAGAGGGGCTCATGTGAGGCCACACAGGAGCAGGCAAGAAAACACTGAATGCAGAAACAGCTGCAACATCTTTGCCAGCAGTGCACAGAGATGGGACGGGCTTGATTTTGCTATTTGTGTAATACCCTAAGGTTCATGGCTCATGAGCCATGGAGGACTGAACGTGGGATTTATGCTGTCTGTGAGTTATGTGTTGCATCTCTTACTCCATATTAACCACGGTAGCCAGCTCCAAGAGGACCCCCGTGAGCCCCACCTTCTGGCATTCATTCACATGGTGTGTAGTCTCTTCCCACTCTGGACCAGGGAGGTCTGTACGATCAACAGAATATGGCAAAATGATGGCGTGTCACTCCCAAGAAGAGATTATAATGGACACTGTGACTTTTGTCCTGGCTGACCTCTCTCATTCTTTTTTTTTTTTTTTTTTTTAAGGCAATTTGGCCCAGGAGAACCAAACTGCTATGTGGTAAAAAATCTTGTGCCAAGCCCTGTGCTACATACTGGGTGTACAAAGGTAAGACACGGCCCCTCATTATAAAACGACTCAGTTCTGTGGCGGGGACAGCAATGCTTCCAGGCAAATACACTTCCCTATCTTAGATATGGCAGCAGTGGACCAGGCAAACCTCCCGTGCAGTTTCAGGAGGCTTCCAGCCAGCTCATCTTTGGTTCCCTGAAGAACTGCCTTTTAAGCTAGAGGGAAAAAAATATATATGCCCTTGAGGTAAATAAAGGAAAGGGAGGAGGAATCTTTTCAGACAGAAAAGTATGTGTGTAAGGGCGGAGAACTGAATTCAACAAGAATTTAATGAGGGGAAAAAGAATGTATTAGAACCTTGTTTCATGGAACCCACTGGAAATAAAAAAGATGTGTAAGACAAAATGCCTGTCCTCTAAAATCTTATACTGTCCCAAGACGTGAAGTCGTACAAGAGTGCTTTAAACCAGTGCAGCCCAATGTGGTAGCCACCAGACACATGTAGGAATCCCGTTCTTGAAATGTGGCTAGTCCAAGTGGAAGGTGCCACAAGTATAAAATATTCAACTGTGAAGACTTGAAAAAACAAAACTGTATCATTAGCAACTTTTGTTTGTTATAAATATTTATTTGAAAGGCAGTATTACAGAGAGAGAAAGAAAGAGATCTTCCATCTACTGGTTCACTCCCTAAATGGCCACAACAGCTGGGACTGGGCCAGGCTGAAACCAGAAGCCAGGAACTTCCTCTGGGTCTCATATGTGGATGACAGGAGTCCAAATACTTGGGCCATCTTCTTCTGCCTTCCTAGCTTCATTAGCAGAGAGCTGGATTGGGAGTGGAGCAGCTGGGACTTGAACCAGTGACCATATGGAAAGCCGGCACTGCAGTTGGTGGCTTAACATGCTGTGCCAAAATGACAACCCCAATTAGCAATTTTTATATTGATTACTTGTTGAAATGATTTAATTTTAAAATTTTATTTGAGAGAGAGACAGAGAAAGACACACACACACACACACACACAGCTCTCATCTCCTGTTTCATTTCCCAAGTGCCTACAATGGCCAGGTCTGGTCTGGAGCTGGAGCTAGGAGCTAGAACCTCAATCCAGGTCTTCCATGTGGGTGGCAGAGACCCAACCATTTGAACTCCCACTTCTTCCTCCCAGGGTCTGCATTGACAGAAAGCTAGAATCAGGAGCTGGGACTGGGAATTAAAACCAGACAATCCAGTATGGGCCATGGGTGTCGTAATGGCTAGCCCAAATGATCACTCCTGAAATGATATTTTTACTAGATAATGTTATACAAAACTCAAAATTATAACTGTCTTTACCTGTTTATCGGTTTCTTTTCATGTTTAAGGGCCTGCTAATATGTTTCAAGTTTTAGTTCTATCTGTGGTCTGCCTTTGCAGCTGCCATTGACTCCCTCTTGGACAGTACTGGTTTGTAGGCTGTGGCAACCACAGTCTAAGAGAGCTCTGGCAGCAGCATTGTGGATGGGAAAGCAGGACTAGGGCCAAAAGGTGCTGAGACCAGAGCCCCTGGCCTTCTGCAGGCACTCTGTGCTGAGAAGGTCCAGTAGGGCCCCTGGAGAAAGCTTAGTTGACGAAGTGATGTCAGAAGTGGAATCCAGGCTGGCACCGCAGCTCAATAGGCTAATTCTCCGACTGTGGCGCTGGCACCCTGGGTTCTAGTCCCGGTTGGGGCGCCGAATTCTGTCCCGGTTGCTCCTCTTCCAGTCCAGCTCTCTGGTGTGGCCCGGGAGTGCAGTGGAGGATGGCCCAAGTGCTTGGGCCCTGTACCGGCATGGGAGACCAGGAGGAAGCACCTGGCTCCTGGCTTTGGATCAGCGTGGTCAGCCATTGTGGGGTGAACCAACAGAAAAGGAAGACCTTTCTCTCTGTCTCTCTGTCTAACTCTGCCTGTCAAAAAAAAAAAAAAAGTGGAATCCAGAGCAGGGCTCCAACACACAGTACCGACACTCATTCCCGGTGACGTGCATGGGTTGATTCTTTTTTTTAATTTATTTTTATTTTTTATTTTTTGACAGGCAGAGTGGACAGTGAGAGAGAGAGACAGAGAGAAAGGTCTTCCTTTGCCATTGGTTTACTCCCCAATGGCCACCGCAGCCAGCGCGCTGCGGCTGGCGCACTGCGCTGATCCGAAGGCAGGAGCCAGGTGCTTCTCCTGGTCTTCCATGCGGGTGCAGGGTCCAAGCACTTGGGCCATCCTCCACTGCACTCCTGGGCCACAGCAGAGAGCTGGCCTGGAAGCGGAGCAACCGGGACAGAATCTGGTGCCCCGACCAGGACTAGAACCCGGTGTGCCGGTGCCGCAGTGAAGGATTAGCCTAGTGAGCCGCAGCTCCGGCCGTGCATGGGTTGATTCTACCCGTCTGCCCCATCTAAAACTTCGTGGTTAAGACTTCTCTGAAGCACCCGCTTCCTTTTTGCTTCTGATATCATAGCGTGGATGGGAAGGAAGAATGGGGTGTGGTAAGACTAGGAGGGTGTGCATCCCTGGCGACAGAGGAACGCCCATCTTAACTTCTGTAGAGGACTGGACTCTGGTGCTGGCCTCGTTCCGTATGCTCTGCTGGAAGACCTGAGGTTCTAGCAGCTCTATCATGCTGCTTGCCTTCAGGCCTCTGCTGCCTGGATTTTTGGGTAGTCCATTTCCTCAACTGGTGAGTGATGGAACCAAGCTTTGTGGGGCTGAAAGAGGAGATAAGAGCTTCCTGGTACTGCAAGGGCTCCCCACTAACCATAATCTGACACACTCAGTTGTCGGAGGTCTCGTGGGCCCTTGACCCTGCTCCCAATATTCTATTCCAGTCTCAGTCACTGCTGTGTGACCTTGCCAAAACAGACCGCATCTCTGTGTGTCTAGAACCTTATTCATTAACCAGTTTCCGGGTCTAAGGAACCAGGGAACACTGCAAGTTTGCTTCATTGTTCAAGCACAATGGCAATGAGAACATCGCGCTTGTTCAGGTAGGCAGCATTTCGCAGGCGAACAGTTGGTTGTGTGCCAGGATCCCTGTGGAACCGCAGCAGCTATAAAGGAGCACACGAGCCCATTCTGAGAATACGGCAGCGGTAGAGATGAACCCAGGGTCACGGAATTCCTCCGGCCCCACCCCTCCCGCGGGCCAGGTTACTCCCAGTGGTGAATGAATCTGCAGTCAGAACCACCTATACTTAACCCCAGCTCAGCTAGCTCTCCTAATGCAAAGACATTTCTCCCGCCGTGTAGGCTTTGAGGCAATGGCTGTTTCAGTTTGTCACAGAAGACGTAAGTACCACAGATTGGTTTTCCTAAACAGCAGGACTTGTTTGTTTCATAGTGCTGCAGGTCTGAAATTGAGGTGTGGCCGGGGCTGGTTCCTTCAGAGGGCTGGAGGGAGGCTCTGTTCTAGGTGTGTCTCCTGGCCTCTGATAAACCGCTGGTGTTCTTGGCTTGCAGAGACACACCCTGCTCTCTGCCTTCATCTTCACGCGGAGGAGTTCTCCTAGTGCGCATGTCCGTGTCCGAGTCCCCTCTAACCTAGCAGGACTGCTACGAGGATGTCAGTCCTATTGGATTAGAGCTACCGTGACGACCTCATCTGAACTCGATTGCTCTCGTAAAGAATCTATTTCCAAATAATGTGACATTCTGAGTTACCAGGACTGAGGTCTTCAAAAGAAACTGGGCAAGGGAGAGAGAGGGGGGCAACTCCAGTGATCACAAATTCTATTCAAAGGAAAGTGTTGGTATTTCTTGCCTTATGTTGTTTTTATGTTCATGTTGGGCGCCAGTTCAAGTTTAACTGCACTAACTTCTGATCCAGCTCCCTGCTAATGCACCTGGGAAAGCAGCGGAGGAGGGCTCAAGTGCTTGGACCCCTGCACCCACATAGGAAACAGGAAGGAGCTTCTGGTTCCTGGCTTCAGCCTGGCCTAGTCCAGGTTGTTGTGAATATTTGGGGAGTGAACCAGGGTTGGACTATCTCTTTCTCTCTCTGACTCTCCCTCCCTTTCTCTCTCTCTCTGTGACTCTGCCTTTCAAATTTGAAAGACAGTTTCAGAGAGAGGTAGAGATAGAGAGAGAGGTCTTCCATCCGCTGGTTCACTCCCTAGATGGCCGCAATGGCTGGAGCTCCACCTATCCGAAGCCAGGAGCCAGGAGCTTCTTCTGGGTCTCCCACATGGACGCAGGGGCCCAAGCACTTGGGCCATCTTCTATTGCTACCCCAGGCCATAGCAGAGAGCTGGATTGGAAGAGGAGCAGCTGGGACTCGAACCGGTGCCCATGTGGGATGCTGGCACTCAGGCCAGGGCGTTAACCTGCTGTGCCACAGTGGTGGCCCCAATAAAATCTTTTAAACACAGTTCAATCCTCAAACAAATTCGATGAGTGTAGGTACTGCCATAATCCCCACTTTGCTGATGGTGAAACTGAGGCTGAAAGTGAATTCTACAGAGGTAAGGCCAGCATGCAAACCCACCTCTAACTACAACCATGACTGCTGCCAGGAGCCGAGGATGGACCCAGGCTGAGAGGGATCAAAGAGCTCCAAGTGCCAGCTGGTGATTTGGGGTGGAGGGGGCAGCAGATGGGGAGAAACGCTGGGCCTGTGCTAGGGAGGGGGGAAGTCCGGAGTCAATCAACTTTGGTGGCTTCGTGCCTCCTTGAAGGGAGAGCGCTCATAATGAAAGTTCTGCTTGACAGAGGATAACGGCTCTGGAGGGAACGGCGAGGGAGGACAAGTGTGCACTGTACATCATCCTAAAGGCAGTTCCCGGAGAAAGCAGAATGCATTGCTGCTTGTCATTCTGTCTCCCGGGGAGGCAGCCGTGGCGTGTGCAGTGACTGCTAAATCAGCTGTCCAGGAGATCACCTGCACACACACAGGCATGCACACGCACACACGCACACACACATGCACACATCCATGTGGATGCACACACTCGCACCTGGGTTTGTAGCATTTGCTCACTTCAGGAGGAGGATGCTCCCCCCATGGATTTGGGAAGTGAAGTGGACA